AGAAGCTTATGATAAGCAATGTGCACCGGGGGAAAGCACCACGCCATTAATGCACCGGGAAAAAAACAACAATCATGCCGAAGCTACTCTGCAGCACCACTAGGCCGATGCAACTTTGTCAACATGGCCACAAGTCAACAAAAATGGCCACTAAATTCTACAAAACTGCTAACTCCCAACTGCACTTTACTTTTCATTTATTGCCTTTCATTATATTTTACCTATAAATAGCCATGTTATCACCATTGTACGTATGAAGTTTTCAATCAAATTTCAGTTTATATTTCTCCTCTTTTGAGTGAGTTTTTTGGAAGTGGATTCTCTCAATTTATCTCTGTATCTTAGGTCTTGCCAACCTAAGTTGTGAACCTGGCAATCGAATTCATCGTAGTGGGATTCTAAATCTCGCCAAAATCGGTGTTTCGGTATCGGCTCCTACGCCATTTGGTATCAAAGCCAATATATTTGGAGTCTACACGTCATTCTGAGCGTTCTGGTGAAAATCCGGTCGACAAAAAAGGTTGCACACGCCCCCACGCGCCACTGCCGTTGTCTCACGCGCCAACCACTCGCACCATTGCAAATCGCGTGAAAGTCACGCGCCGGTCTTCTTCAACCTCCATTCGCCACGTCATCGATGCGTCATCAGCCAGTCACTGCCACATCATCTATTTGCCACGTCACTTGACATGTCATCAGCCACGTTAGTGACACGTCATCACCACAGCCGCACTCTTTACCACGTCATCAAGTCCCTCAACTTATTTTGACCTTACAGATTGAGCCCATAATTTTACAAATTTCAAATTACCCCCACTTTCAAATATTAACTTTCCAAAAAGCCCCTTACCAACCTAAACTCATCATGCCTCCTAGAAGACAAAATCCTCCTTGTCAACGAGCTATTCGGGACATAGAAATGGAAGAACTACGTCAACAAATTCAAAGGCTTCAAGAAAAACTCGAAGCTTTTGAGGGACAACAAACTCAACACCCGCAAGATGAACCACATGAGTCAGAGGAAGATACTGATGACGAGAATCCCTTCCATCACCTAAGGGATAATGAAAGCTCATCATTAACAGAAAGAGTTCATCGTCGACAATGTCCCCAACAAAATACTGCTCATAAATCCACTGACCTTAGCATCAAAATTGATATTCCAGATTTTGAAGGTCGCCTTCAACCAAATGAATTTATCGACTGGTCGCACACTATGGAACGTGTGTTTGAACTCAAGGATATTCCTAACGACAAGCGTGTGAAGCTCGTCGCCATCAAATTAAAGAAATATGCATCCATTTGGTGGGAGAATCTCAAACGCAGTCGAGAAAGAGAAGGCCGCAACAAAATTAGAACTTGGGAGAAAATGCGTCGGGAACTCACTCGTAAGTTTTACCTGACCGTTACTACCAAGATAATTTTGTTAAATTTCATAATTTGCAACAAAAATCTTTGACTGTGGAAGAATATACTATGGAGTTTGAACAATTAATGATGAAGTATGATGTTCGGGAAAAGGACGAGCAAACCATAGCTCGATATCTTGGAGGATTGGACTATGACATTTCCAAAGTTGTTCAACTTCAACAATATTGGACTTTGGATGATGTAATTCGGCTAGCATTGAGGGTTGAAAAGAAAATCTCAAAGAAGAATATCCCTAGTACTTCAAAACCGCGGGATTTTGGAGCCAGCAGAGGGACTCAAGCCTCAAAAACTGTTGCTAAGACTCCTGCCAAGATTGAGAAGGAAGTCAGCTCGAGCCGTTCAGCTCAATCTAACACTCGAAAGTGTTTCAAGTGTCAAGGATTTGGCCACGTAGCCTCCGACTGTCCAAATAGGAGAGTTGTCACCACTATCGGAGGAGAAATTCATGAAGCCTCAGAAGATGAAGCAGAAAAGGAGCAAAATGATGAAACTTAGTCACCCCAGCTTGAGGAAGAACTCATCCCAGCTGACCATGGAGAATCTTTGGTTGTGCGTCGTAGTCTACATGCTACAATAACCAAGGATGAAGATTGGCTTCGACATAACATCTTTCACACCAGATGCACTTCTCGAGGGAAAGTCTGCAATCTCATCATTGACAGTGGAAGTTATGAGAATGTTGTGTCAAATTATATGGTTGAGAAGCTAGGTTTGCCTATCAAAGATCATCCCCATCCATACAAGTTATAATGGCTACGAAAGGGAAACGAGGTAAAAGTAACCAAACGTTGCCTTGTCTCTTTTTCTATTGGTAACAGGTACCAAGATGAAGTATGGTGTGATGTTATTCCTATGGATGCTTGTCACTTGTTACTTGGTCGCCCTTGGCAATTTGACCGAAAGGCTATCCATGACGGCCATGCTAACACCTACTCGTTTTTGAAAGATGGTGTGAAGGTCAAGCTCACTCCCCTGAAGCCTGAAGAAACACTTGAAAAGAAGGATGAGGACAAGGCTTTAATCTCCAGATCAACCTTTCACAAGTTGCACCAAGAGTCGGGAATAGCATGTCTCCTACTATTATCCAAAGTAAATGATGCCACTTGCCCTTTTCCAGAGGAAATTCGATCTCTCCTTGAAGAATTTTCTGATGTTGTTCCTGATGAGATCCCTCCTAGATTACCACCAATGAGAGACATTCAGCATGCCATTGATTTCATCCCAGGATCTGTCATCCCAAACAAGCCTGCTTATCGGATGAACCCTCAAGAGTATGCGGAACTTCAACGACAAGTCAAAAAACTGATGGAGAAAGGACTTGTCAAGGAAAGTGTTAGCCCATGTGCCGTGCCTGTGCTACTCGTCCCAAGGAAAGATGGAACTTGGAGAATGTCTGTAGATAGTCGAGCAATCAACAAAATCACTATCAAGTACCGCTTCCCAATTCCACGCCTTGATGATATGCTTGATCAGCTGCATGGAGCTACTGTCTTCTCAAAGATTGATTTGAGAAGTGGATATCACCAGATGCGAATGCATCCCGATGATGAATGGAAGACAGCATTCAAAACTAGAGATGGTTTGTACGAGTGGACGGTCATGCCATTCGGATTGTCTAATGCTCCCAGCACTTTCATGCGCCTTATGAACCAGGTATTTCGACCCTTCATTTGGAAATTTGTTGTGGTTTACTTTGATGATATCCTAGTATATAGCAAGAATGAACAGGAGCACCTAGACCATCTACGGCAAGTTTTTGAAGCCCTTAGAGAACAGAAACTTTATGCTAATCTCAAGAAATGTTCATTCCTCACTACAAGTGTGACATTTCTCGGATACATCATCACTGCTCAAGGTATCAAGATGGACCCCAGTAAGATTGATGCTATTTTCAACTGGCCTACACCAACATCGATGCATGATGTTCGAAGCTTCCATGGCCTGGCATCTTTTTACCGGAGATTCATCAAGAATTTTAGTTCTATAGTTGCCCCTATTACTGACAGCCTTAAGGGTGACAAATTTTCATGGAGTGACAAAGCCCAATAGAGTTTTGAAGAATTAAAGAGGAAGCTCACTAAAAGCTCTGTACTTGCACTTCCCAACTTTGACCTGATGTTTGAAGTAGATTGTGATGCTTTTAATGTTGGAATTGGTGCAGTGTTAATTCAAGAAGTTCGACCCATTGCCTTTTTCAGTGAAAAGTTGAATGACACAAAGCTCAGATATTCCACCTATGACAAAGAATTCTATGCAATTGTTCGAGCCTTGGAGCATTGGAGCCATTATCTTCTTTCCAAAGAATTCATCTTGCACTCTGACAATGAGGCATTGAAGCACCTGAATTCTCAACAGAAGATCAATCATCGACATGCTGCTTGGAGTGAATTTCTACAAGCTTATCCTTTCCTCCTCAAATACAAATCTGGAGTCCAGAATCGTGTAGCTGATGCTCTGAGTTGCCAACATGCCTTGCTTACTTCCTTACAAATGAAAGTCACTGGATTTGAAGTGATCAAGGAGTTGTATGAGGATGATCCTGATTTTAGCAACATTTGGCAAGCCACTTCTAATCAAGCCTTTCAGCAATATCATCGCTAGCAAGATTACCTCTTCAAGGGTAACCGACTATGTGTTCCACATTGCTCACTCCGAGATTCAATTATCTGGGAAGCACATAATGGCGGATTAGCTGGTCATTTTGGGAGAGATAAGACTTTAGCTCTTGTTAAAGAAAGTTTTTACTGGCTAAAGTTGGAGCAGAATGTCATTCGTCACATTCAAAGATGCAAAGTTTGTCACCAAGCCAAGACAATCAATCAAAACACAGGGTTGTATCAGCCATTGCCTATCCCAACTTCACCTTAGGAAGATGTTAGTATGGATTTTGTCCTTGGTCTACCACGAACTCAATGAAGCAAGGATTCTATCATGGTCGTGGTTGACAGATTTTCTAAAATGGCTCACTTTATTGCTTGTCAGAAAACTAGTGATGCTTCTCTCATTGTTGAGTTATATTTTAGACAGATTGTGCATCTACATGGAGTTCCAAAAACCATCACTTCAGATAGAGATGTGAAGTTCATGAGTCACTTTTGGAGGACTTTATGGAGAAAGATGGGCACTCAACTCCAGTTTAGTTCTGCTAGCCATCTCCAAACCAATGGACAAACTGAAGCTATCAATAAGATTTTGGGAATCTACTATGAAGTTTTGTGGGAAAAAATTTGCGACGATGGGATCTTGTGCTTGCCCAAGCTAAGTTTGCCTACAACAACTCTTCGAATCAAGCTAGGGGAAAATGCCCATTTGAAGTAGTATATGGAGTGCGTCCTCTCAGTCCTTTAGATCTTGCTCCATTGCCCACATCCCGATAATTTAGTGCAGATGTTGAAGAACGAGCCAAGGAGATCAAGAAACTTCATGAAAAAGTTCGTGAGAAACTACAACGTCAAACCATTAGGTATAAGGCTCATCATGACAAGCATCGAAAGAAGGTTGTGTATAAAGAAGGAGATTGGGTTTGGATACACCTTCGAAAGGAAAGGTTTCCTAATCGACCTAATGTCAAACTCTCCCCTAGAGC